AACTTGCCAAACTCAGTAATTATGTACTTGCCTTGTCCATATATGGAAACTGGAAAACTAATTTGTTCTTTATATAAGCAACTTTAATAACAATTAAGGGTAACGGCTTGCAATTTAGAAGTATGTCAATATAATCACAGCTAGGATTATTTGTTTATGACTTTTTATATAGTTCACATTAATCAATAGTATTGGTAGTTTTATTTTTTTGGTCTGAAAAGGGTTTTATAATAAACATCCAAATCTCTAATCTGAACCATCTTTGTGTTTGTGTGTTCTTTTTGGTGGATAATGAGATTAGGGGACCTTTATAAAAAGATGTGTTTATATTATTAAATCTAACAGTTGTAGGTGGTGTTAGAATTTGCCCTACATTTTTTTTATAACATGGTCATTTAAAGAGTTTTTGAGAGATTTTTCTCTAAATAGTTTTTATTTTTTTTAATCTTTCTTTTATATTATGTCGATGAATTGATCAAATTATATTAAATTATTAAGTTTTTTGATATTGTTTTTTTTGTCATCTGATTGATCATCGTCTATCTTTGCAATGATTAACTTTTGCATACGCTCCAAGTATTTTTATCCCAACTGATAAAATTTGCTGATTTTTGAGATGCTCACTCAATTAATAGTTATCATCTCCAAAAAAATATTTTTCTTCTTGCTTTTAATTTTCTTCAATTAAGAAAAATTAGTGTATGAATACTACTTCTTAATTGAGTAATCAATCTGACAAATTAAACCATCATAAGCCACCTATTACATCCCAACTTTATATTAAAGCCTTAAGCCACCTTTTTATCTCATGCACAAAGTGAAATACTTCCATTTATAATTTCCAGTAGTTTAATTTGTATGCTAATCTCTCCATCGGCTAATCCCTTTTTAGTATCATTTGTATGATTATTTCTTTTGATGTTACTTATATATCTAAATATAATTTTACATTATCATTGTATCTTAATCAATAGTCCGTAGCAAAATATTTGTCTTATTTTTCAAATTATAACTAGGTCAGTTAGTGCGAACAATTCTTTATAGTTTAATAATCACATGAATTCGTCAGTATAAAATAGGCAGAAGTACTCATTACCCCCCTGAACTTGAAGCTTTTTATACAGTGTACACCTAAACTAAATTTCGTTTTAATTACCCCCCCGAACTTGTTTATTCCTCCGTCGCGTACACCTTTTTCGTCCACCTGGCGTAGAAATTGACAACAATCTCTACTAGGCGCGTGAGGAAGTGATTTTTTGCCACATCATAACGCTACAGCGATAAAAAAAACGTAAAATCTTCATTTTTCTTTAATATTTGGCATATTTTAAACGAAAAATAGGGTAAAATGTAAATGAAAAGTAAAGGAAACAAAGATTAACACTTACTTGGTAAGAATTTCAGACAAATTTGAAATTTAATCGACCAACTTCACGTCTAGAAAAACCCAAATCCAAAAGGAGTTCCGCGAAATCAGCCCTTATTCAAAAATAACTTTTAAACAATGAATTTTAAATTTAAGAAATTTATTTTTTGCAATATTAATTTATCCAGGTG